TTTCATTTTTATCATTACATTATGGAAAATAATGACCTTTATCACAATATGCAAATTTTTTGAGAAGGACCTGTATACGTTTCAGTACAGTGCCCTAAGATGACTTTTGTTGTGACTTGGTACTATATAAATAAATTGATACTATATAAATAAATTGAATTATGTCAACAAAGATGGATGTAAAATGAACATATTTTGGTTTGTCCGTTTTTATTTTTGATTACTTTCATTTAATTTATGCATTTACTTCCATGACGTTTCAATTACAGTAAGACAGCTTACTATAAAAGAATATGATACATCACTGGCTCTCATAAAAATAAATTAATAAACATGTTAAGAAGCTTAATGAAAGCAGTCACCATGTCATCTGGACGTTTCTATAAGGGAGAAACATTTTGTGTTTCATCTGCAAGACTTCATCAGTCTGAGGCCTGCCAACCCAGATCTGTCCCATAAATAGCACCTCCAAGCCAGCCTCCTGTTAAACTCCCTGAAACCAGCTTCCAACACATGCAAAGGGACCATCCGTCCAAAACAATCAATCAGTGCATAACAATCAAATGTTTTAGGCCAGATGACCAACTTGCTACTCACAGAAACAGCCTGAGGATAACCAAGACCAAAATGGTTCAGAAAAAAAATTGTAAGCTAAATCATCCGAGTAAATAAATACAAAAAGGTTAAATCAGGTCTTCTGGATAAGTTGGAAGCTGGTACCACAATATTTTTAATATTTGCGCAGTAATTATTTATATTAAATGTGTCTTTATGACAATAATGTTAACCCATCCTTATCTTCTTAATAGTTGTATTAAAAAAATAATTTATTGTAATCTTCTTAACGATCTTACACAATTGTTCAGATAGCTTATAGAACAACTGTTAAAGTTGATCTTGTTTGTGTGTGCCCCCCCCCACCCCCACTCAACAGATTTTAACCCAACACACCACGTGACCTCGTCTTTTTAGTCACATGAAACAATGAGCAATGATGGAAAACAATGCACAAATGAGAATTCAATAAGTTGGTTTTGCTCAGAGAAATAAGACTCACATTCTCTGGCCTCTGGGCTCATTTGGGCGTCTGTTTGGGGGGTAGTCATCTCTGTACCCCCGTCCAGCGTCGTTGAGGTTATCCATAGAGCGGGCACGTGCGCGATCTCCCATGAAATCCCCACCACGCCGTCCGTAGTCGTCCCGTCGTTGGCCTTGCTGGGAGACACTGCTGATTGTGCTCATGGCTTCATCTTGATCATAGACGGTGGCCAGAGGTGGGGCGTGGGAACGGCCCCCGCGGCCTCGAGGCTCCATGCTGTCGTGCAGAGAACTGACTTCACTCATGTTGTCAACTGTGGGAAAACCAGAAGAAAAATAAAGTCAAATACACACTTGGTTTCATTGTAAGCAAGATCAATTACTCTCTTATGTCTCAGTGGGTATCACTACACCCCCAATTAAAAATAATGAAGATATTTTATTTATTTCAAACACACAGGAATAAAAACTGTTTGCAATACAAATGTTTTGTTTCATGAGAAACACAGTACGTAATCATTACGATCAGTGACTCACTTTGTAAGAAGCCCACCAGAGAATGTATTTTTATCAGAAGCTCTGTGGTTTTAATGTTGATTCTACTTTTATGAGAATGTTTATTAATGTTTCATTGATTCTCTTAAGTTTCACCTTCGTCTGTTGGTTTGGACTTTTAACATGTAAAAACAGGATGTGCAGCAAAACTGTTGGCATAGCCCTAGAGAACCTCACTGACCTACACAAGACGAGGTCAGTGAACAAGGCCAGGCTGATTCTGGCAGATCCTGATCATCCTCCATGGTGAGTTCAAGTTGCTTCCATCTAGACACAGGTATCTGCTGCCCAGATGTAGAATGAATAGACTAAAAAACTCATTTATCCCTGTAGCGATCAGGCTTTTCAACAAACAGTGATGATTTCTGTACTGTTACTTTAATGTCTTACTGTCTTGTCTAGTGTGGATGTTTTGTGTGCGTACTGACTGTGAAACAAATATAATAAAGATTCTTGAACTTGAACAGTGCTAATAGAAATAATACAGTAAAATGGGAGATGTTACCTTTAAATTAAGAGCACACCTTTTGAATTGTGAACAGAATTCATCGTTATCCCACCTAAATGTTAATTTTTTGTTCTTCAAAATTCTTCTCTTACTCAAAAAAGTTCCAGCATGCAGGTGAATACTCTCCTTCATATCAAAACTGGGTCTCTGACATCTCATATAAAGGTTTTCCAACAATCCTGCTTGCAAGTGTAAAAACCATTTGGCTTCTTTATTAAAAAAATATTGCTGTAAAACAATTTTATCGAAAAACTTAGCTAATAATACGAAGCGGATTCTTTTTATTTTTATGACACCTTGATTTATTGTTTTAGACACTACTTATTTTAATTGCATTTTTATTATACCTTATTGTTGTCTGTACTTTACATGTTGTCTGCCTAAAACAGGTCTCTCTTGTAAATGTGTCCTAGCGGCTCAATGAGACTAACCTGTATAAATAAAGGTTGAATGAACGAAAAAAGATTTGCAGTTTACATCTGATTCCACTTTACTCCTGCCTTTTATTAACAAACTCTTCAGCTATAAATGATTTAATAGTGCACAAGTCATGCAGTTTGCTGCATGGAAGAAAAAACAATAAAAAACTTTGTTGTGCCTCAATGAAATTAAAACCTACATGTAGTCAGACTCGATGTGTTGGAGATATCAGCGCACGATAACTGATGGGTTTTCCCCACACACAGTGGAACGTGCGATCTAAAGTACTGTAGGGTGTGAAACCACAAGTCTGCAGAGGTTACCAAAACTAATATGAACTTTTTGTAAAGAGCATTACATTGAAGATGATGATCAAATGTAACAGCTATTTGTAATTAGAACAAATAAATTGTTTGTGGCAGTTCATTCAATGGAATAGTTTAATCAGCTGCTGTGCATACCAAAAACACATATTTGTAAGTATCCTGCTGTATGTTCAGTAATTCATGTAGACAAATCTGGCAAGGTTGAGTCAGGTCCTCTGAACAGGTTCTTCTTTGTTGATTGACTCAACCTTGTTAGATATTTGTACGTAATTTCAGTTTTCCAACCATTTGTTAAACATTGAAAACCGTTTTGTGCTTCAAGTGAATCAATCAGGCAGTAACCAAGTGACTCCTGACAGAAGTTGATATACTTTACCAACTGTGGTTTGTGGCACACAAGTACTATAGAACTACAGGAAGTGCTAAGTCACTTACAGCGTTTGTAGTTGGCAGGCCGGGAGGGGTTTAAGGAAGCCAGTTCCTTCTCCGTGTAGTAAATGGCACGCGTTGCATTTCCATCAGGGTCCACGTGAATACGATAACCACTGCGAGCTGTGGAGGAAACACACACACACACGGACTAAATCATCTAGAATGTTTTACAAAATGATCTTTATCCTAAAAATATGTCCTTTTTCCCCCCCCATCAGGCTTCATAAAATCACACAGTCATACTATGATTGAGTAATAGCTATTATTAAACAAGTCCTTCCTTCTCCCTCCTAAACAGCTCTGACAAGTGAGGGCATATACAGAAAACACCCGGAGCTATCCCAGGATTTCTGGCACCAGAACATTATCAACATATCCTTTGGACTCTGTAGTTCACCTGCTGCCTGGGTTTGCTTCCCATCGACAAAAGGTCAGACCAACATAAGTTCGGTGGCTGGGTAAACATCTCTTTATGTGTTTTGTGCTACTGCCCAGTACATAAGATACATAGTGTACATAAGAAAGTGATGTCAGGTTGGGGGTAGATTAGATCAGCAAACATGTTAAAACTGTCAGGTAAGAGTTAAAGGTATTTTGGGAATGCCAATGACGTAAAAAAGTCGCCCCAGCAACAGAACCAAGCACCCTGCCTACCGAACTGCCCCCCACTCCCCCCGTCTACAACTGACGGTACTGACATAGTGCTAGCCATGCGCAATTCAATTCAATTCAATTCAAAAATACTTTATTAATCCCAAAGGGAAATTATTTGTTGCTGCAACTCGTTATCCTCATTTCATTAAGAGATGTTATAGACACTGATGGCTGTAGACAGGAAGGATCTCTTGTAAAGGTCCATCTCACAGTGGCTCCTAAGAAACTGGCTGCAGATGCCGTCCGATCCGTCCACCCAGACTCAGCAGGCCTCTCGGTTCCCCCGGGCTGCAGGACTGCCCGAATGCCGGGCAGAACTCCTCCCAGAGCGATGGCCACTCCTCCCAGCAGTCTACTGAGCTCCTCGTTTCTGCGGACAGCCAACTGTAGGTGCCGAGGGACGATCCTGTCCTTCCACTGTCATGAGCCGTGTTTCCTGCTAGTTCCAGGATTTCAGTGGTCAGGCACTCGGGCACAGCTGGCAGGTAGATGGGAATACATCCACAGAACATCCTTTTCAACTCATTTGAGATTTGGGGCTGTAGTTGAAATATTATTTGACCTTTTGAGATGTTAATCAGCTGCTGTTGTAGAAAACTGCATTGTTTCCATGGTTACACCCATCCATCCATCCATTATCTTTACCCGTTTGTTCCATTTTGGGTCACGGGGGTCGCTGGTGCCCATGTCCAACAATCACTGTGCGAGGGGCGGGGTACACCCTGGACGGGTCGCAAGTCCATCACAGGGCCACATAGAGACAAACGAGACAAACAACCATTCACTCTCTCACTCACACCTAGGGACAATTTAGAGTTACCAATCAGCCTAACATGCATGTTTTTGGTCTGTGGGAGGAAACCGGAGTACCCGGCGAAAACCCACGCATGCACGGAGAGAACATGCAAACTCCACCCAGAAAGGCCCCTGGACCGGGGTTTGAACCAGGGACCTGCTCGCTGAGAGGCAGCAGCTCTACCAGTTGTGCCACCGTGCTGCCCCCATGGTTACACATTATAACAAAATGTCCAAAACTAAAAAAGTTTCAGTAAAAATCCTTCCAGCTGCACAGCATCCGATACCAGAGGAAACAATCATCCAAAAAATGTGACTTACATCCAGAAAAAGAGGAATTAAAGTTTCCAAAAGCAAAATCTCAGAATGAAAGTAACAGAGCTGCTCCAACATGCAGCCACCTTGAGCGGCGCAATTCTAGAACTAATGCACCCCAACTAACCAATACAGACGTGCTAGCTAAAAAGCTACAGAGAGGTAGCGCTCCGTTTCTCTCGCACTGAGCCATCTCCCTGCTCGAAAGCTGTCGATACAAACAGCGCACAACACAGACGTGCCTCCCGTCCCCCACCCCTACATCCAACAAAAATCACAGAAGATAGGAGTGCCCTGCCAAGGCAAGTAAATTAGGAGACACACTGAAAACCGTTCAAAAACCTCGAGGTTTGGTAGTAATCCTTTCAAAACCCATTTGTTTTCAACAAGAATCCAAGTCAGACAAATGCTACTAACTGAGCACAATATAAAATTCTATATGTTTAAATTACAGAATAACCTCTAAAAGTGTTTTCAGTTCATAATGTGGCATTAGAGAAACTCGAGCAATCTAAATTTTATGATTGTAAACAGCTGAAGTTTGCTAGTATAAATGAGCCATGACTGAATGTTTCCATTTAGCCTCCTGGTCAGCCTTTTCCAGAATTATAATTTTACGTCATAATTTTAAACGGAAACAACAAATAGATGTATAGTTTTTTTTTTTTAACGTTTTTTTTTTTTCTTCCTCCATTTGAGTCCTCACTTTCTAGCCACCTACAAACCACATTAAAAGTTTCAACTTTGTAAAGGTTCGTGGCAATGTTGAATACTTATGTCAAACATTTTACATTTTGAGGTGTTAAAAAAAATCTAGAAATGTTAATAAAATGTTTTATTTTAGTACAACACTGAGGGGAAACAAGTGTTCAACATATTATACTTACATAAACACATTAACCGAGTAAGAATTAATGTTTGAATGGGTCATTTGTTGAATATTTTCTCTTCTTGCTTGGGTGAGGAAATTTAATTCAACTCCTACTTTATTTTATGTTACTGGCACAAAAAGCCATTTGAAACATTACATATGAATATCAATAACATTGTTAATGAGGATAGTCCTCTAATTAAATGATCATTGCAGTTTAGCCAACAAGCCAAGAACACCCCGCCTACAGAAATCTCACTACTACAACGGTCATTTGTTTGTGAATGTTTTGTTTTCCATTTACTTACTGTTGTCTCCACCATCTTGATCATGCAGCAGTGGTATCTGTGATCCCTGCCCCACTGGACACAGTGACAAAAATGCAATTAAGTTCACCAACGCACCGTCAATATGAAACTTTCTTTTTTGGGTGTCTGACTTTGTTCACTTCGTTGTGTGAATTGAATCAGAAAAACTTTTTTAATTTAAAGACAAAACATGTAGTTTTAAAGTGAGCAGTGCCTACCTGAGCTGGCACCATCATAGTCACGTCCGTAACCATTCTGAGGAGCCATGCCATTGGGCATAGGTTGAAGCTGTATGGCAGACATGGGCTGGCTATACATACTGGGAGCAAAGAGGGTGGGGGCGTACTGACTGGGTATGCCTTTCTTTACTGCTTTTCCTGCTTCGTACACTGCAAAAAAAGTTGCATATATAGGAAAATACTTTATTTTACAATTTAAGATTCTTCATACATCATAAGTTAATAGATACACACCCACACAAGTGATGTAAACAGACAATTTCATTACAATACCAGGTTAAACTTGGAAATAGTATATTCTGATATTTACATATTACAGTAGTCCCTCGCTACTGCGCGGTTCGACTTTTGCGGGCTCTCTCTTTCACGGTTTTTCAAAGTAAGAGCGGACATGACACACAATTGGCTGATTGATGGATGAGCCACACGAGCAGCATGGATTGTTTATTTAAGATACATTATTTTAAATGATTTAGCACCTGTTGCACCTTTGTGCAGCACACAGTGCAGGGAGAAGCTCCCTCTGCAGCCTGTCATGATCTCCTCTCTGCCACCTGCGGCTCTCTGCCACCTGCGGCTCTCTGCCACCTGCGGCTCTCTGCCACCTGCGGCTCGCTGCCACCTGCGGCTCGCTGCCACACACACATTTCTGCTCAGTGCTGCATCAGTTGCGTGAAGGGTTAACCCTTTGCTGTCCTGCTGAACTTCTCTTCTCTACAATTTAAATTTAAATACTAACATTTTAAATAAACAATCCATGCAGTAGGATTGTTTATTTAAAATATTGCAGTATTTAAATTTAAATTGTTTATTTACACAGAAAGAGGGAGATTGGGAGTGAAACTTGAACTTGGGACTACTGTATCACTGCTTTGCGGTTTTTCACTTATTGTGGGGGGCGTGGTCCCCTAAGCCCCGCGATAAACGAGGGACTACGGTAATTTCTTTTTAACATTGTTCTTAACTTTAAATAGTTACTGTTCAAATAAACATTGTTTAAGAATAAGGCCTGGAAAAGTTTGACTTAGATACAACACTCCAGATGCATGCAAACCTTATCAACTGATATATAACGAAATGATTTACATTGACATGTATTTCTGGGAAGAAAAAAAAAGTATTTTAACAAGAAACAAAACAAATAAATAAACTCTAGCAGGTATGCCATGATAATGCAGAAAGTCATGTACAACACTAGTTAAGCTATAGTCTTAACCGTTTCTGATATTGTGTTGTTTGCTTGATGAATGTAAACAGGAGTGTCTAACTTAATTACATTGGAGGGCAACGTATTACTGAACATTTTATATTCAATTTTTCAGGCTTTAAAGTTGGCGTGTGTAGGAAGTTTGTAGCAAAAAAAAGAACTGATAGTTGATCTGTCACAGTTTAGCAGACCAGTTTAAAACATTTAAGATCAAATTTAATGAAGGACAGATGTGGCCCGTGGGCCTTAAACATGGCAGATGTGCTGTTGAGGAAAACTTTGTACAATTTGTACAACTTTTTACAATTATTCTATTTGATACTCACGTGCTCGTGGGCAGCAGCACCGTTCAGGACAGCAGGGACAGCTGACGTAGCAGCAGCAGGTGTGAGGACAACACTGGCACCAACAGATCCCGATCAGCATGAGCAGTAACAAAAAGCCCAAAACCACCAAAAGCACCAGGAGCCAGTCTGCACAGACCAAAAAGAGGTCATTTGTGTTAAAGCTTTACAGTTTGCCAGCATTCAGGAATTCAACTAAGGGACAGACATGTTAGATTACTTTTTAACTCAGAAATACAGGTAATGTTGATTGTTTTATCCATTTAACTTGCTTTCTATAGTGAATCGTTTAGGAGACGTAACACTGAAAGAAGAAGAATCAAAGTAGAAAGAGACCAATCTTGTGATTGCGTTTAATCAAACAGGAAGAGTTGATATGTATAATATGCTGCTGATCTGTAGAAGTTGAGAAGAAAGCAGAAGTCTGTGTTACAACTAGCCAATTTTCTGAGATAACATGTTAGCCCCACCGTTGATACCCTTATTTCCCAAGTTTTGTCCAACTAGAAAATCCAGTTCACACTGCAAGTCAGTTCAGGCAGACCGTAACACAGACGGGGTAAAGCCACGCTTGTTCTAAACATTCAACTACAACACAATTTAAACATGCATATAACCAGACAAGGAAATGTGTGCTGAATCATTTTACTGCTCAGCACTGAAATGCAAGATGAAACCAAAAGCCACATTAAAGAGACACACATTGCACATGTGTGAAATCTAGCAAGGTGAAATAAAGGCACTCTATTTCTTGGAATGAAATAATTTCTCATCTACAGCTGTTCACAGTTAACTTCAACTGTAAAGAGACAGCTCCTTGGATGAAACGCAAAATAAACGTTTTACAACTAAAACGTCTACCGTAATTTCTGGACTATAAGCTGCTACTTTTTTCACAAGCTTTGAAACACTGTGGCTTATACAACGCTGTAGCTCATTTATGGTTTTTTTTTTTTATTTTATTTTGACGGGCTAACGAGCTTCATGCCACGTTCATGCCAAAACATTTAGCTCGTCACGCCCGGGCGCTCATATAGCTGCTCAATACACGTCTCTCTTTGGGGGTGGGTCCTCGTGACTCAATGAGATTACCTGTACAGATAAAAGGTTAATAAATAAATTAATTAATTTGACCAATGAAATGAACAGGTCACAGTGGACCAATGAAACAGGGAGGGGAGGAGAGAACGGGAGAGGGGGACTCCCCTACATACACAGAGCAACTTTTGCTCAGTTTTGCCAGTGGATCCTGACAGTGGATCAGGAGGAAAACACAAGCTTGTGCAGGAGGAAGATTAAGTTTTTATTTATTTATTTAATTTTTTAAACCTGCCGTGTTACAGGCACTGTGCAGAAAAAAGAAAACCATCTACTGTACGTATTTGTCTACGTTACCTGTACGCATTTAATTAAAAGGTTTTTTTTAATCTTTCTGTGTACATATCTCATGTTACAACGTGGACACCCGTGGCTTATAGACAACCGTGGCCTATATATGTACAAAGTTTTTTTTTTTTTATTCTATCTAATGAGCGCGGCTTATATTCGGGTGCGCTCAATAGTCCAGAAATTATGGTAGTTTCCTTAGATTCAACTTGACCCAGGAAACCAAGAGTCTACAACAGCAAAATGCAGTACAAAAACAAAAGTAGAAAAAAAGCACAACAGAGGAGTCATTCACTAGTTTTAGTTTTAACCCCAAGGCCGATGATTGTTGCTGAGGAATAAAGCCTGTTCTTATAATGACTCATATTTGCCACAAACTTTAGAACAGTGTATTTACAGACTGAATTACCTCATTTTATCGTAACTGTTCAAATTGTTTAGAAGAATTTAGGGACTGAATCTTAAAACAAATACAAGCCGAGTGGCCTCTAAAGCAGGTATAGCATCAAGGAATCCCACTTTGACAACAGATTCTACGGGTAATAACCCTATTCACTTTTATTAAGGGACTAGATCAACTAAATAAAGGGGCTCGTACTACCTTCCATAACCAGTAAGTCAATGCCAGGCAGGAGGTCAGTAGTATTTGACTTTCTCTCTGTGAAAGAAAGATAAAGTCACAATTACTTTAAGGTGATATCCGTCTAACTTTGATGCGTACAATTTATGACTCCAAATAGAGAACTCAGTTTGTGGCAAACGTCCTCTCTCGTGAATAGAAGTCCCCTAGTAGTTCAGTCACTTGTGCAATAAAACCCAGAGTTGTGGTTCTTTTTGGCGCATTTTCCCCCCTCACATATTTGAATAAGAAAAAAAGCTTCATAGAAAAAAAAAAAAGGGAAGTGAGGAGAACAGTCAGAGCAAGGAATGTTCATCAAATATTAAAAAAGACTCACCAAGTACAATGAGTTCAACGTAATCTTCACCAGTTCCTGTCAGATCCTGGGATGAAACCACAGAGCAGATGTACACACCGCTGTCCCCCCACGCTGTTTGCGCGATGTTCAGCTCTGCATCTATGAGTAACAATTTTCAATTTTCTTAGTTATTAAAATATCAGATTAAATTCTTATTATAACCATTTGGTAGTAATATTTTGACATTTCAAAACAAGCAAATCAAGATATTTGAACTCACTGAAAATGTGTGTGGATGCTTCTTTTCTGAGGCCTCATTGCTTTCATTATTTAGAAAAACTTACGGTATATACCGGTACTTAGTTCTAGCATGCAAAGTCTTAGTAAATCTAGAATCTTACTGGGTTGCAATTGTAGGAAATTAGTTGGCATACGGCATTTATGAGGGAGTCTCTAAAATGTCTCAAATTTTTGCTGGTATACTCAATTTCCTTGCCAATCATAAAAGCACACATTATTGTAGCTTGAATTTATTTTAGCCAAATAAATAAATACAAACTTTGCCAAAAGTTTCCTCTCAAAATAGTTGCAGGAATCCCAAACCCTTATCACTTTAATTTGTGTACATTGTAAATGAGCATGACCAAGGATACGGGTTTGCAGTTTAATTCTTACAATATCCTGAGTCACCAACTATTCTACGATAGTTGCACTCCAGTGAGATGCTAGTTCAGTTTACATGATCCAGATCCAGTTACTGTTGATGATCCTGTATACCAACTTCCCTTACACTGATAGACTGACCAATGATGATGATAAACTTAAAATTTAAACAGCCTTTCATATACAAAATTCTTTACTTCTTCTTCTTTCAGCTTTTCCCTCTTCAGGGGTCTCCACAGCGAGTCATCCTCCTCCATCTCACTCTGTCCTCTGCATCCTCCATCCTCGCTCCAACTACCTTCATGTCCTCTTTAACTGCATCCAGATTTTTCCTCTTGGTCTTTTTCCTGGAAGCTGCATTTCTAACATCTTTCTACCAATATACCCACTGCCCCCCCTCTGGACATGTCCAAACCAACTCTCCAACTTTATCTCCCAGTTGTTCAACCTGTGCTGTACCTCTGATGATCTCATTCCTAATCTTATTCATCGTTGTCACTCCTAAGGAGAACTCTTTATTTCCACCACTTCCAGTTCTTTCTCTTGTCTTTTTGCCCATGTCTCTGTCTCCAGACCATACAACATAGCTGGTCTCACAAGTGTCTTGTAAACTTTTCATTTGGCCTTTGAAGACACCCTTTTGTCGAAAATCATTCCTGAAACTTTTCTCCATCCACTCCATCCTGCCTGCCATATAAAATGCTTTATACCAGATAAAAACAGACATAACAGGCAGCAGTGGTATTTTTTTAACAAGTATGTTATCTGATGAGAATTGATGATGGTATGGTTGGTTGTTTTTTCTACAAACTCTCTTATCATCCAAATTAGCCCCAAATCAAACACTTGCTAAACAGAAATTAATTGTGTGCATGTGTGTGATAAAAATGAGTGACCTAGTGAATGTCAGCTACTGCCCCTAACTTAATGATGTCAGTTAAGACTGGGTGATATCTCAATATTTTAAAATATCAAGATAATTTTTTTGAGATACAAGTTGAGACTATCTCTATATAAAACAATATAGTTTTAAACTTGGACATCCTGCAGTCTTCTTTCTCCCAGGTGGCCCCCCTCCTTCTACCTCCTCAAACACAAACACACAGCCCTCAGCTGCGCTCCCTCGCCCCTTCCTTCTTCTCCAGGAGGTGGGCGGGCAGGAGGAGAGGAGACGTTTAGCAGAATTTGACACAGCAGCTGAGCGTGTGTGAAGCTACCAGCTTCGACAGACCTGTCTCCTTCCTTGAAGCAAACCACGGTTCAGAATTCATTTAGCCATGCTGTGTGTGTGCCTTTTAGAGGAAGACTGAGGAAGTGCGACATTAATAAATCAGCAGTTTATCATATCGCGATATGATAAACTGCTGATTTATTAATGTTGCGCTTCCTCTCCGTGTAAATAAATACAGTACAGTAAATAGTTTATTTTTTAGGCATTTATTTTGTACAGTTACAGCTGTTCATAAATGTGCCTGTGTGACAACTGGGACAAAACTTTGACTCAAATATATTTTTGTTATTACTTTATGGAAAGAAAAAATATCGAGATATACATCGTATATTGCGATTTTTGTAAAAATATCAAGATATTAATTTTGGTCCATATCACCCAGCCCTAATGTCAGTAAATCAAACTATAAGTTTGTGAGGATTCACAACTTCTCCTCCTCCACCATAACTCTCAGCACTGGCTCTCCTCAGGGATGTGTGTTGAGCCCCCTCCTGTTTACTCTGCTCACGTATGATTGTGCAGCTACCCATCCAGGCTGTCACATTGTAAAGTTTGCAGACGATACAGCGGTGGTGGGATGCATCACAAACAATGATGAGTCCAGCTACAGGCAAGAGGTGGAACACCTGGAGAGCTGGTGCAGAGAGAATAACCTTCACATCAATGTGAAGAAGACAAAGGAGATGATTGTGGACTTCAGAAGGAACAAAAACATCTACACCCCCCTGAACATAAAAGGATCTGTGGTGGAAGTGGTCTCCAGCTACAAGTACTTGGGTGTACACATGAATGACAACCTCAGCTGGAGCAACAACACCACCAGCCTGATCAAGAAAGCTCATCAGAGACTCTACTTCCTCAGGCGGCTGAGACGAGCTGGTCTGGGAAGCTCAGTCCTCACCTCCTTCTACAGGTGTGCAGTGGAGAGCATCCTGTGCTCCAGCATCAACGTGTGGCATGGAGGCTGCACAGCTGCAGAAAGAAAAGCTTTGCAGAGAGTGGTGAAGGCTGCACAGAAGTCTGTCGGAGTCAGTCTCCCCACCATCACAGACATCTACACCTCTAGATGCAGGAAGAGGGCTACCTGCATCATGAAGGACCTCACTCACCCAGCACAAACACTTTTTGCCCCACTCCCCTCAGGAAGGAGGTTGAGGAGCATTAAGTGTAGAACCACTAGACTGAGGAACAGCTTCTACCCTGAGGCTGTTAGACTCATGAATCTCTAACTAGAATAATCACTGTGAAAAATCACATCATGTTGCTGCTGATCTGTTTCATGTTGCTGCTGATCTGTTTCATGTTGCTGCTGATCTGTTTCAATGTTGACGTGTTCATGCGTGCTCATCTGCTCACAGACTCATGTTCATGTTTGTGCTGATGTTCAATGTTTTTATGTTATGAGTGCTCAGTGTATATTTAGTTGATGTTTTTCTTAGTTCATATCTTAGATGTTATTACTGTTTTTCTTAGACATTTTATTGTTGGATGTAACTGGGACCCTGTGTACATAATTTCGCTCCACCAAATGTAGCACATGAGGTGCGAATGACAATAAAGAAACTCTCGACTCTGATAATAAAAATTATACATTTTAGCAACAAGAATGAGTACAATTTATGTTTTCTATGTACTTTTATCTTTTTAAACCTACTTTACCAACCAATTAAAACTAAATTCATTTTTGAACATGTAAATGCACATTTCACCATTTAAGCTGTCACCAACTCACCATTCATGATGCTGATCTTGCGACCCTGGTAGTCCTTGCTCAGAGTGACGGAGGTGCCTTGCTTGGAGGCCACGTTGCGGACTGTTCTCTGGCTGTCCGCACACTCGATGCTGGGGTTATAGTTCGGATTATTTTGCGCCAAGGCATTATCTGCACTGCTGGGACTGAGAGCAGCCTGGATTGGGTCCTTGCAGTATGATTTGTACTTCCATGTGAGGATAGCAGACTGAGGGAAAGATGTTTGGAACTGACAGTTGAGGGTGACTGGCTGAAAGAGGATGACGACGTACTTCTTGGTGGGACATTGGACTGAGATGGCCAGGGTGGTCTCTAGAACAGATTAAAAATATTTGCATATTAATCGAAATAGTGGATGAAATATTATTGAAGAATATTATTAATATTATTGAATATCATTATTAATGCAGAAAAATATTTTGCAACATATTGCAACAAAGTTTCTCAGTACTGTAGTCTGCAACAATTAAGGTGTGGCACAAAATCAACAGAGTTTCTTCACTGTTAGTATCACTGAAAGAGGTTAAGATGAGTCACTTCCAAGTTACTGCATTCTTTCAACCTGAAACAGCCGCGTGCAAAATGAGGTTTGCAGTGGGATAAAAACAACTTCTTACTACCGGTACTGCACATAAATGTGTTAGGAAATATGTTTACAGGATACAAAGAGTGACAAGAGTGTGCTGTGCTTTAGGCGTATGTGGTCACGTGAACATACTGTACAAGGAGGCGGACATATTGGTCTGGGGGAAATTTGACAAAGTAGTGACGCATTGCTGTGCTGGTGATTGCACATCTAACAACCTTCTTTCTAAGAAGAAACATTTATGTTTATTTTTCCATTTGCAAGACCGAGAAGGGAAAAATGGAAAGCTGCTGTAGACACACTTTGGTCACCACGTAGCACGCACACATACGTCTTGTTTGGCACATTTTAATAATCTGTATTTTTTGTTACTTTATGTAAATTTGCAATTATCATCTAGAGATCCACATGTTTCCATTGCCTCAAGTGAATATAAACCTGAAATATACAAAACGAACCGTTAGAAATACATAGTGCTGAAAACAGGGATGGAGCGAGTGGACAAAGCATTTTACGTAACCATACTAGTTTTTTCTCTGTTCTTACGATTCTTGATGCCATTTATATAATTATTTTATATGTTATTTTATGTTTATCTTAAATTGTTTAATATGTGCTAGAAGATAAATTAGACGGCATAACTGTTTAGTGTCAATTGACAGTCTTCGTTTTGTCATCTTAATATAAACAGCAGGACGCCAAATATATTGAATATTAACATTTAATCAAAAGCTTAGAAAATAAGTCTTACGTGGACTCTTTGTATAAAGTGTACGCATCTTTGTAGTTCAACTCGGGCAAACCTGTCGGGTCATTTAGTCAAGTATCTGTCAGGAGTTTATATCGGCATCCATATCCTTACAACATTTTTGCGTATGCTTGAAGGAATATAAGGGATTAAAAAAAAATTTAAAAAATGAAATAATCTACTTCACTTTTTCAGTTTTCCACCACACAATGTATTTCCCCAAAACCAAAAATGGCGGTTTGACACCAAGTGACGGATGATGTCGCACAGACTTCAAAACATTACATTTAGTTTAAGAAAAACTTCTAAAATCCAATTAAATATCTTATATCTTATCTTATTTATGGGTTTTAAAAATTGCTACTCATGAGAGACTACTAAATATCATTCCATGTTTCCATCTGCCTCACAAGTTCATTTAATTATGACTGTTTTTATGCGAGTTTAATAGAAATTATTCATTTGTAAGTTCTGTGAAGACTCAACTTCCTTAATTTATTTAAACTAAACTTAAAAATGTGTAGCTTGCAAATGGAGCATGTCAGTTTAAAATATATTATAATAATAATGGGGGGGGGGGGGGGGGGGAGTACAGTTTGTTCAGAATGAGCTATTGCCACAATAAAAATATAAATAAGGAGAAATGGCTTCTTATATCACATTAGGATTTACTTATTTATTTGGTTAATTGGAAATGTTAATATTTACGATATTTTCAATGCAATGCCAGAAAACATGCGTTGGAAAAAAATATATATATTCGAGATTTGTATATTTAAGTTCAGATGGTGGACAGTTACTTATTCACTTATTATGTTGTTTACATGTTAGTACAAGTTTGTGTCCAGTCATGTGTAAGACACGATTTTATTTATTTATTTTAAACCTCTGAACCCACGCCTCGCCCGTTTTTAGACAACAAATTCACGTTTCTTCTGCTAAAAAGTACTTTCTGCTTAAAATACATTACCAAAACACAGAATGGCCTACTTTAGTCTAAATAAAGACGAAGTCAACTTAAAGATCAAAACAGGAGTTTAAGCGAAAGGGCCCACCCAAAAACAACCAGGTCAACTTACCTGTCGCCATTAAAACTCCGACGATTATCGTCCAAAACATTTTTAATCGCTTTTCTTGTGCCTCTGCCGACTTAATTAACAAATATTTATCAAACGACCTTAAAAATAAAATAAAAGTGATCGCATAATACTGATCGAAGCACAATATGTTCTCAACCAGGTAGAGGCAACTCCATTTTATGTCTTTGTTAGTTGTGAGCCAGAGAGGAGCACCTGAACGCCTCACGCTAACAGGTAAGTTTCTGGAACAGGTTATGAAACACGGGGGGGAACTTAACTCTTTCTTTAAGATTAAACGTGATTTAACTTAATCACAATGGCTTAGTTTTGGCAAACTAAAACTTTTTAAACTAGAGTTTTACCCACATATTTGCAAAGAGGTGATTTTAAATTATTTTGGTGCGTTGTCTCACCCGTCAGTTGGTATGATCCGGGCCTGATTCAAAACTCTGTTAATATTACACTGGGTTGAAAAGATCCTCTCAGCTCAGTCAGAGGTTTGAACAGGAAATGGAGACAGATGAGTCAGCGATCTGGGCTGTGAATGAGCAGGAGTTTTTTTTATTTATTTATTTTTTATTAATAACACACAGAACTACAAAACACTACAAAAGAGAAAGATATATACAAACACTCGTGAAGGGTGTCAGAACTACAGTTTACAAGCTAGGGGGGGGTTACAAAATGATAAAAATTGAGTAATACATATATAAAAAAAACATTAAATGAAAAGAATAAACATAAGAAACAAAAAGGAGCAAAACAATATGAGAAACTTAAAACAACAAGTTTTTTGATATCTGTTGTGAAATGGTTCTAGCAGTTTTCCAGTTTTTTAATCTACTTATTGAAGAATAGTACAACTTGAATTCGTTCATAAAACACGGGAAGGAGAGCTGATTGTCCCTCCACTTACTACAATGAATGTGAGGGTAATTTTGGATCAGGAAGTGAGTTTGAAGAAATGGAAGAAGATAGTGGTGGAAATGTAGAAGATTGGAGTAAGGTAGCCGCTCCAAAAAGCAGGAAAAAGCAGACATCAGCGGAAGATATGTCAAACCCAGAAAATGATGAGGAAAATGAAGTAGTAACTGAGAAACAAAAAGATGAGTATAAAGCTATTATTAAATTAAATCAAGAGGGAGAATCTTTTGGTGAGTGGAACCCAATTCAACTAACCAAATTAATAAGCAAACTAATAGGTGAAGACCGAAGTGCTAAGGTTTTGCGAAGTGGTGCGCTTCTTGTTCATTGCAGAGACAGCATTCAACATCCATCCATCCATTATCTTTACCCGTTTATTCCATTTTGGGTCACGGGGGTCGCTGGTGCCCATGTACAGCAGTCACTGTGCGAGGGGCGGGGTACACCCTGGACGGGTCGCAAGTCCATCACAGGACCACATAGAGACAAACGAGACAAACAACCATTCACACTCTCACTCACACCTAGGGACAATTTAGAGTTACCAATCAGCCTAACATGCATGTTTTTGGTCTGTGGGAGGAAACCGGAGTACCCGGAGAAAACCCACGCATGCACGGAGAGAACATGCAAACTCCACCCCGAAAGGCCCCTGGACCGGGGTTTGAACCAAGGACCTGCTCGCTGAGAGGCAGCAGCTCTACCAGTTGCGCCACCGTGCTGCCCCAGCATTCAACAAAGAAAGGCAATTAAGATTAACAAAATGGAAGGGAAGAAAGTTCAGTGCAGTTCTGTTGAAAACAAAAAAATGAGTAGAGGAGTCATTAGTGGAGTCCCTTTTAAAAATCTCCAATGAAGAAATACAAGAAAATATACGTGGAGCAAAAGTGAGAGAAATTAAACGTCTGAAAACAACAAGAAATGGAGAAAGATGTGATAGCTTATCAGTCTTGATCACATTTGAAGGAGAATGTTTACCAAGTAAAATTTTCATAGGTTATATGAGCTATGATGTAAAACAATACATTCCTCCTCCATTAAGGTGTTTTAAATGCCAGAAATTTGGACACGTAGCAGCGACCTGTAAAGGAAAACAACGATGTGGAAGATGTGCGGGTGAACATGAATATGGGAAATGTGAAAAAGAAGCAAAAATTAAATGTTGTAACTGTGGGGGAGAACACACTGCTGCTTACCGTGGATATCAAGTCAGTAAAAGAGCAGAGGAAATCCAAAAAGTAAAACTAGCTCAAGGGATTACTTACGCTGAAGCCGTGAAAAGAATCCCAAATCAAGCAGAGAGACCAAAACGAACTGTGACACCAAACATAAAACCAAAGGTGTGTGATGGATGCTCTAAAATAGCTAATGATTCAATGATAGTGAACAAAAAGGATGTTGTGCTGTTTATGGTGGAAGTTAATTGTTCAGCTCAGACAGTAAAGAAAACTGAAAAGATTAAAATTATAGTGAGGGCTGCAGAAAAATATCTAGATGTGAAAGACCTTGGTTGGGAAGCAGTAGAAAATATGATAGGTAAAGGAGTAACACCAGTGCAGTCAGAAGGTGGTACTTCTACATGATCATGAAAATATTTCAATGGAACGCAAGAAGTCTCATCTCAAATGGACAAGATTTTAAACATTACATATCACAACTACAAGAGAAACCTCATATTATCTGTATTCAAGAAACCTGGTTAAAACCAGAATTAGATTATGTTCTACATGGATACACTGCAATCAGGAGAGATAGAGATAGTGGAAGGGGTGGAGGAATAATGACATTTGTACAAAATAATATAGGTTACAGTATAATCAATATAGGGAAAGATCATGAATACATTACTATTAAAATATGGACAGGTAAGGATGAAATAATCATTATTAATTATTATAATCCATGTAAAGAATTGAAAACTGAAACATTGAATATAGTACGAGGACAGGAGAAGGGGAAAATTGTACGGTGTGGAGATTTCAATGCTCACAGTAATCTTTGGGGAAGTGATCACACAGACATAAATGGTAGAAACGTAGAGGAATTCATTGAAGATAACAGACTGGTGTGCATAAATAATGGAACAGGGACAAGATATAATATCACAAAGAACACAGAAACAGCAATAGATTTAACATTTACCTCAAATAACATTGCAGGAATTACACAGTGGGAAGTAATAAACAAAACAACACTTGGCAGTGACCATTATCCAATAATAATTAAAATAGGAATGGATGCTCTTAAAGGAAAACCATTTCAAGTACCTAGGTGGCAATTTAGTAAAGCAAACTGGACACGTTTTCAAGATCAGACAGAAGCAAAATGTGGAGAAATTATTAAAGAAAGTATTAAAGATGTTGAAGAATTTAATGGAAAATTAACATCGATAATTGAACAGACTGCACATAAAACAATACCTAAAAGTACAGGAAGTAGAATTAAAAAGAATGTTCCATGGTGGAATGAGGATTGCAAAAAAAGCTATTAAAGAAAGGAATAAAGGATTTAAACAACTTAAAGTTCAGCATACAGTTGAAAAGTTAATATGTTATAAAAGGAAATAAGCAATCGTTAGGAGAACAATAAGAAAGGCAAAGAGAGAATACTGGCAAAAATACTGCTCTACCATAGGGAGAGAAACAAAATTATCAGATGTGTGGGGGATGATAAGGAAGATGAATGGGATAACTAGAAAATATGAAATCCCAATAATCAAACAAGAAAACACTGTTGCAATAAACAATTTAGATAAAGCAGAATTATTAGTTAAAACACTGGTTAAAATACATAGTTCTGATAATATTTCAGAGAATGTTAGGGAGTTGAGGGGCAATATATCAAAAAACCATCCAAATATAGTCAACAGAAAACCAGTCAATGAAGGGAAGATGGACCTATCTATAACTTTATTTGAATTTAAAAGAGCTCTTAGTAATACAAAACAATCATCCCCTGGAAAAGATCATATTTGTTATGATATGTTAAAACATATGGGTGATAAGTCTACTAAAGCAATATTAACCTTATTTAATTTAATTTGGGACAGTGGTAAAATACCAGCTATATGGAAAAATTCAATAATAATTCCATTATTAAAACCTGGTAAAGATCTTTCAAATCCTTCAAACTATAGACCAATTGCTTTAAACTCACAATTGGGGAAAACAATGGAAAAAATAATAACTGAAAGGCTATATTGTTATTTAGAACTTAATCAACTTTTAACACCAAATCAAAGTGGATTTAGGAAAGGGAGAAATACACTGGATTCTGTGTTATGCCTCGAATCTGAGATAAGGAAAGCACAAGCTAATAAAGAATCAGTTATTGCAGTCTTTTTTGATATTGAAAAAGCTTATGATACTGTTTGGAAAGAAGGTTTATTAATAAAACTGGAAAGACTTGGGGTAAAAGGAAAGCTATTTAATTATATAAATATTTTTTTATTTGAAAGAACAATAGAAGTGCAAGTGGGAAAGGAATTTTCGAATAAATGTAGTGTGGAGAATGGTACTCTTCAAGGTAGTGTTTGTAGCCCAGTATTATTCTTGATAATGATCAACGATATATTTGAAAAAGTAGATCCTGGAATTGGTAAATCTTTATTTGCGGATGATGGAGCTTTATGGATTCGTGGTCGTAATCTAGAATATATTAAGAATAAAATGCAAAAGGCAATCAATGAAGTTGAAATATGGTCCAATAAATGGGGTTTTAAACTTTCAACAACAAAATCTCAGGTTATCTGCTTTTCTAAAAAACACAAATCTATCTCCTTAAAATTATATGGTCAAAATCTTGAACAGGTTAAAGATATAACATTTTTAGGCATGATATTCGATGAAAAACTTACATGGAAACAACATATAGAAAAAGTAAAATGTAAAAATGTCAATAATATATTGCGTTGTTTAACAGGAAGGGAATGGGGAGCAAGTAGAAAAGCATTAGTTAATATATATCAATCACTTATGAGATCCACAATGGACTATGGCAGCATCAGCTATTTGGCAGCAGCAGAAACTAATTTGAAGCTTCTGGATATAGAACAATCAAAAGCACTTAGAATATGCAGTGGAGCATTTAGAACATCACCAGTTTCAGCTCTTCAAGTTGAAATGGGGGAAATGCCTTTACGAATAAGAAGATTAAAACAAACGTTAGTGTACTGGATTAATATTAAAGGACATGACCAAACGCACCCAGTAAATAGTATATTGCAAGAATGTTGGGAACATCAAAAAACAAATATTTATAGTTTTGGCTGGATAGGTAATATAAAAGCTCAA